ACCCAAACATAATGACCTTTTAATGATAAAATGTGATATTCCTCCTCTAGGATAATTCCTACAGGCAAGGTTGTCACCATGTGTATTGTTAATAAAAAGTTAATTTATATACTGTTATTATCTCAAACCATTTGCCTACTGCTATATAGTAAAGTGAACTACTACACCTCCATCCCATATATATTTGCAATAGTCAATCACTGTACCAGATAACCTTGTTACTTGGTTGTATTGTACTAAAAAGGCTGCAACCCTGTAACATTATATGATATAGATCTAAAATAGTATAAATATCAAATAGTACTATTTTAGCAATTACTATAATCACTTTAGTGTTAATATAAAGTAGCCATTTTTGTAATAAACTAAGTCATTAATAGATATATACTTTAATTAATAAATATATAAGCTTTATTAAATCATTTTGCATTTCACAGTTGCAAACAAAAGCCTGTAATTGTTATCGAAATTGCAACAAAGACAATCATAATCATGATTGTGTGAATAAATGATCATGACCATGATTATATAGACAAAGATATATGAAGACAATCATGATTATAATTGTGATTGAGACAAATAAAGTTATGATTATTAATTGAAAAAACCAATCACAATTATATACAAAATATATAAATTGCCTTAAAATTTTGATTAAAAAAAAAAGATAAACAAATAAAATTAAAAAAAAAAAATATAATCAAAAAAAAAAACAAAAACAAAATAAGCTTCAAAAAAATTGTATCCAAAACTAAAATTATATTTAAGTCCAAAACTGCATTTAAGTCCAAAATTGTATCTAAGTCCAAAATTATATCCAAGCCCAAAACTATAGCAAAACTACAACAAAATCAAACTACGCATATAAAAGCTATTGAGTCTGTTCTTAAGGCAATCACTAGTCCTGGAAAACTTAGTATTCAAACAGCAGCATTAAGATATGGGGTTGCTGCAAAAACTTTAAAACAAGCTAAAAAAAAATAGGTTGCCCAACCATCCTGGTCTTTTAACAATTTTAACCGTACATAAAGAAGAACAGTTGGTAAGTTATTGTATGAATATGCAACAATTAGGATTTGGTCTTACATGATCTGGTGTAAACCACTATGTGATGAGTATCATGAAAAGTAATAACTGTAATCATTCTTTTAAGGATAATGGATCTGGTGAGGCCTGGTGAACATGTTTTATGAAAAATCATCCTAATTTGTCTTTTTGCATATCTTAGACTCTTTTAAAGGCACATGTACAAAGAGCCAATTTTGTTATTATTAAAGATTATTTTAATAAACTTAATAAAATAATCCAAGAAAATTTACTTATTGCTAACAAAATTTGGAATATGGACAAAACTGGTTTCGTTATAACTTTTAAGGTCTAGAAAGTTATTGCTAGAAAAGGTTTACATCAATTCACAAAATTTCACATGACAACTCACATGAACACATTTCTGTCATCTTAACTATTTCAGCTGCTGGCAATTATATTTCTTCTTTAATTATTTATAAGAGAATTCATGCAATTTTCAATTTGTTAGATGGTGTCTTAGCTGGAACTGTTATGGGTTTTACTAACTTCACTTATATGTAAGAAGAACTATTTTAAATATATATTAAACATTTCATTAATTCTATTTTTTCTTATTATCTAGTTCTTTTTTTTTGGTATTAAGGTAACCTCTTTAGTCTTTTGACTTTTATTAATCACTTATTGGTATTGTGGTTCAATGAACCACTACAGAAGAACGTACAATTGACTACATATGTAACTTTTCTATATTACCTATTTAAGGAGTCTGCCTAAAATTTTCATACTAATTGCTGTATCTAATACTCTTGCTTTGGTGTTCCACTTTAAACCCTCTAAACCTGTAATCTGTGTTAACATCACTGGTCATTTCAGATATACCAGATCATTGTCTGCAACCTTAGGACTAATTTATCCTTGAGGTAAACCTCCCATATCGGGAAAGTTTTTAAAGGTGCTATATATCGTTAGTAATCCTTAGATTACTATCGATATATAGCACCCCTGCGGAGTATCATCGTTAGTGATTACTAACGATATATAACAAAAATTCATTAAATTTTTTTAAACTTTGACTTAAATTTTCTTGATAACTACTGATCCAAATTGGCTCAAATTTTTACTATATATAGTATATATATTCAACTATATAATATT